CAACTCAGCTGCATCAACTTCTGAAATTGTACACGCAAGATTGAAAGGGCAGGCCGGCACCGTTTAGCCATCAGCCGACTTGCTGCTGATGATAATTCCTTCGATACTTCATGGAACGCTACACCACATGCATGGTCGACATCGAACATGCGCAGCTCAGGTTAGTACAGGAAATCTGGTTACCCCAGGAGTTGGTTACCTCTCATTTTGGTACAGGTTTGTCAGCCCGTGATCAAGCCGTGATGTCAGGTCATGCGGGGGCTAGCACGCGACAACTAATCACAGAATAATCACGGAATAACCACGACAGATGTAACCAAGCGGAGAGATAACCGCACCGCGCGTATTAGAGGTATCACTGTATCACACAATGATGCAAGCAGTGCTTGCAGGAGGCTTGGGCCAAGAGCTTGCAAGAATTCTTGCCACTCGGCCAAGCGATCTTACAAGGTCGGTGACAGCCGTGCAAGCAACCTGTATCATGGACAGACTTTTCGGCAACCCGATCCGCCTAGCAGGCTGATGTGTTACACGTGTCCTAATGTGCTTACGGTTAAGACAAGGGCGGGACTCAGCGTGCACAAATTTGTACATTGTAGAGCACGAGTGCCACTCAGCTGGTGAACTATTAGCTATTAACTTTAAGGGCTCCACATCAGACTTTTACGGCTTTGGCACTGGACACTTACAGTAGACGCTTTGAGGAAGCCCACGGCATGATCCTGCGTGGCATGGACCGGGGGCGGTATGCAGCAGATACTCCGCCCAGGAGAGTACCTTCTGCCGGCGCATCTGACAACTCGTCTCGCCTGTACCGAGATGCCGTCAGGCCCATATTGAAGACTTTCAGAGTAAAGACAAAAGACCCATAAACCAGTACAGCGAGTCATGATGCTAGGTCAGGGCCGGAGGATGCATTGCATACTGATACGGTGATGTAACTGTGCAAAGCAATAATGGATACAGCGCTTCACAGCTGCACGACACACACCGTAGTTGCAATGACTGTTTCAACCGAGACTCGAAGGTTGAATTACTCTCACTCAGCAGAGACTCTGCAGCCACGTCACTTGCGAGACTTGTCTTCTTAATTAGCGTGCATGTAATGCCTGTACAACGATGTTGACTTGTCGGTGGGGTGGATTCTCGAATCAGTAGGCCTTCTCATCATGTCGTTTTGGCCCATCTGTTACCCGCGGAGGCGCAAGGCGAACTTGGAGCGCCGGGTGCAGCAGCAACAACAGCTGGAGGTTAGAGCGCCAGGGACTTCGAGAAAAGGTCAGAAAGAGCATAGCACGTAGCGACCTAGTGTTTTTCATTCTGCCGACAGCAGAGCCTCTGCCACACGCGTGGAGCTGCTCGTGAATCTCATGATATATGCGTTGAAGGGCATGCCGGTCCCGCGCGGTCCTCTCCGGATAACGTCCTGGTTAAATTGGAAGTATTTCCCGAGCGACCCAACCAAAGCCACACCTTCCTCATCGGATCGGCTTGGCGTACTTTCTGCATAAAAACACCTGCGCTGTCGTTGGATTCGACGAATGTCCCAATTCAGCTCATGGACAAGCCTTGCACGAGGAGGAGGAGCTTCGTGCGCAGTCAATACATGCGGGTGCCCGAAGAATCTCGGCAGTGCGAGCCATTCACGCTTGAGGACATGTAGTGGCGGCTACCGTAGTGGGTTTGTGCGTCAGGGTACACCGAACAAAGCCGGTCAGCTAGTGACCTAGAGCACAGGAGTGTTGCAGGCAGCATTTCGCTGCTCCAGACCAGACTTCGTCGGCCGTCAACCTTCGGGCGGCTAGCGCGTAAGCCAAGGAAGTTGGAATCGACAGCGCGAGGAGGAGGCGGCGGTCTGCTGTTTAATTTTCGAATCCGCACAACGACTCGGACTACTGTCACTGTTCTTTGCTTCATTGCGCTTTATGATGCTCTTGGCATAAGGCCAGAACCTACACCATTACGTCATCCTTGGCTTTGCCAACCTAGACTCAACAAATTGTGAGGGTGCACGTTACAGTAGGCGCATGCCATTCCATGTTGTGCCATTCCGCAGGATCATAGAATGAGTGTTTCTGTCTTTGCAGTTTCGATTAGCCGTGTTCTTTTTCCGAGTCCCGCCCTCTAAGTCAATGTTTATTATTGAGAAGTCCGTGTAGTGACGTGTATATTGATAGACAGATGAAATCATACGTGACGTATACTTAATCTATATATGGTTATATATACACACGCATACATTATGTAGATTCTGCATACTTGTACAAACATCTTACATTTGCTTGTCTTTTTGTAGACTTGTGCATGCGCATGCACGCGCATACAGGCACATTCCTAAGAACCTGACGGACGGAACACACAGAATGTGCAGGCCAGGCTGATGGGCGAATATGGCTATAACTGACAATCTAGACCAGGGCATGCGAGCAACGACACTGACTAGTTGCGTTCGTTGGCCAGGATGGGTTGGGCTGGGTTGGTGAGTTGGGCTGTGTTGGTTGGTAGATCTGGTGGGTGGGCGGGCGGATGGGTTGACTGAGTGGGTAGCTTGGCTTTGGTTTTGTTTGGTTGATTAATCGACTGATGTTTGATTGTTTGGCAAGCTGGTCGAAAAACACCCTAATGCATGCGGACAGACTAAAAACCACCTGCATCTGCATTCCGTGGAGGCCGTTGAGCGTCTACTGCATGCGCAGCCTCCCCGAACCTTCACGCCGCCCCCGTTGCTGGCTTCAAAGGGTTGCCGTTTAGCAACGAAGTGTTCGTGGCACAAGCAGAGCGTGCAGAGCTCCAAAACCGCGGGCAGCATTGTCGGAAAGGGAGGTGAGAGTTTCAGCAGTAAACCACTGCCGGATCTATCTAAATCCGGAAGGGGGCCTGGCTGCAGCCTGGCATCTTAGATTTGCAAGAGTCGAGAGTCAAGAGGTCATCGCCCTTTCTGTTGAAATATCGGTGTGAGCCCAGGCGCTTGCGGGAGCAGGGGAGCCTGCCAGCTACGCCTCGGGCGCTCAGCGAGCCAGGGCGGCCATCAAAGGCGCTAACTTCTCGCTCGGTTACGGGCTTGCGCTCTCATGGTTGAGGCGTCGGTGTCATGCTGGTCGGTTCACTACCGGTCCTCCCTGCAATTGGAACCCTGCAGGTGCTGAAACTTCGGTAATTAGTGTTGTGATTGTGGTGGACATGTCGAGGCCACAACTCCTCGACGATCACCCTCGCAGCCATCACACGACTCCTGGCAGACCTGAGCCACGAATGGATTCGATTCACCTTGCGCACGACTTCAGCAAGTAAAGGTTCGAGGGCTGGAGAAGTTGACATGAGTGCACAAGGCTTCATATTTTCGTATTTCCAGTTCATGCGTGTAGGTATGCGGACCAGCACCCAAAGCAGCAGAGTCTAGAAAGTCTTGTTTAACTTTTTGCCAAGATACCATGGCCCGATCACGGCATTAGGAGCTGCATCGAAAACACCTGCTAGTGCGATCTCAGGCTACCGGCGCGGGCAGTTCTACAAGCGCCCAGAGTACGAGCATGTCGGGGGAGGTCCCAAAGCAGAAACAGCCGAGGTGGTGCTGGGATCGATGGGGGGAGGTTCAGGCGAAAAACGAGATGCATTGATTGCTGGAGTTGGTTGTGTTGCGAGGCCGTTTTCTGGATTTGGTGATGGCAGCAGTTCCACATGTTGTACGTGAAGCATCGAGCTTGGGCATGAGAACTCATCAAGCCTTGCAGTTATGGCAAACAGAGATGAACGGACAGCATTCCAGACTTGGTGCCGGCACTGCTTCATGTAAGAAGCAGCAACAAAGACCGTCAGAAAGCATTTGCCACAGGACGGTTCGGACGATTCGAATTCCTGCCGTGGCGGGAAGCTCGCCCTGCAAAACCCAACAGCGTGAGGAATTGGAGGCTTCTGCCTTGTCAGCATTTGTCAGAAACGTGCATTCAGCCAAGCCTTCAGCCCGAAAGCCCGTAGCCACTACAGACACATTCTTCAGCCAAGTGCATTTGGAGTTGGAAAGAGGTGCCCGACCATGGAAGATCTGTGTTTCTGACCTCATCTGCGGCATGCTCAGGACTGGACAGCGGGGCTGGAAACAGGACTTGCTGCTTTGATGACTGTTTTGACATGCTAGGCTGCACATCCATCTTGTTGCCATCCAGCTTCAAATAAATCGACCGCTGCACTGTCTTCAGGGTTCTGGCGCTGTATCGGCAGGACTGGCGACACAAGCCCTGCTGCAGGCACAGTCAGGAAACAGGACGGCGGCAGCGGGCGAGTGGAAAGTGCGTCGCCTGCACCTTTTCGGGAAACAGACTCCCGAAACGAGACTGGCTTTGGGACAGAGCTCGGACGAAGGCGAAGCTCCACTCCGAGTTTTGAGACCCGGACTCAAAGCCTCCGGTCTCTCTTTTCGGCTTGGAAAGGGCTCCTTGCCCGTGGTCCCTCTCAGGCCTCGATGCACCGGGAGGCTTCGAGACGGACCCGAACACCGGGTTCCTCCCAGACGCAAAGCAAGCAGGCGCAGGGCTCGGCTACGCCAAAGGCGTGTCAGAAAAATGGCTCTGGGCCCGCGCCCGCAACTCCGAGCACCCCTCGGACAACCCCGAGGACCAGCCCGGGGGGAACTCCAAAAGGATCCCCACGAGTAGTCCAGCGCATCACCCGCCGGGACACACTTGAGCGGCAAAGTCCCGCCAAACCGCGGCAAAGATCCGCAACTCCCAGCTTGGTGACCCGCTCGCGACCGGCAACGCCCCGCAACGAAAGGCCACGCCTGCTTTGCTGTTCGCTGCAGGCCTGCAGAGAATGGATCTCGTGAGATGCCCGAGGTGCCGACATGAATTTGGGATTTTTTGCAGTCACAACCTGCATGGCTGCACAACGGCGGAAGAGCCAGCAAAATGTCGGTTCTGGTTGAACCTACTTTGTGGTTCCAACGATATGTTGCTTGGTCACCTCAGTATATCTGGGTATTATAGAACCCCACTCAAACCCAGGTGGGGTTGCGTTGGCAGAGCTCCTGATGTCACGCCCGCCTGAGGTGGGGTGATACGGCGAGGGGTTGCGTCATTGCGCGATTGTACCTTTCCGTGTCACTACTTCATTAGCGAGTTCACTCTCTTTGAACGAGTGCTGCGGGGTATGTTGCCATGTCTGAGACGCATGTGAGCTTTCAGGATTGAATGGCCTTTCCGTGCATGTTGCACAACGCATTGTCAAAGCAGTTGGTCATCTCGGGTTATGGATGCTCCAACTTGAACCAGCAAGCTCGAGTAGCTTGCGAGGTGGAAGCCTCGATCGAATGTTCACTTTGGTGCTGCTCACCGACAACTTGCAGTCTGCGATTGAAGAGCAACCCTTCATTGCAGGCTGCAGCCCTGGACCTTCAGCTGGAAGCTCGGGATCATCGATGCACTTCGGGCTTCTGATGCTGTTCTTGGGATACGTGGAGTTTAGTTGTACACAGTGCTGTGTAGTGTTGTTTTACGCCAAGAGGATTTCCAGATCTTCCCAGCGTGTTTCTGTGATTTGGTGAGTCAGGGTGCGGCAAGCACCGCCGGCTGGCTTGGTTCCGTCATGCTTTACACACCTTCGGGTTTTTTATGGACCCAGCGACCCGGGCAGTGATCGTGTCGTTGTCTGTGAGACGGGGAGAAGGATGACTGCCGGAACATGGAGCAGTCAATATCAACCAGCTTCTCCACCCGAACTCCGACTCCACCTGCCCAAACTGTTTAGGCGCACCAACCCACAGTCGGGCTACGTGCACGAAGAACGAGTGGCTCAAAGTCTGAAGCGTCGTTTCTGCAACACGTCATGTCGCATGGTCTATAGACTGCCATAGAGCATTGGAGCATTCGCAGAGCGGCCATGGCAAGTCTCACTAGGGCCAGGTGGACCAGGTGCTTGGCCTTCTGCGAGCAAACGAAGGGCAAGCGGAGTGTGCTTGCTCTCAGGTCTCTGGACGTGCGCAAAGTTGCCAGCGGGCAAAGTGCGCCCCAGAAGGATCACCGTGTCTGGCATCTGCCGGAATGGGCCAAGGAGGAGAAGCGACCTCCTCGTCAGATGCTTGCTTTGGGAGCAGCATTGCTGCTGCCATTGGGTGTGGGCTCGGTGGCAGTGCATGTCCTTGATGCTGACGCAGAGGAGTCTGAGGAGGCCGAAATCCCGAGCACGAAAGCAGACTTGTCGCGTCTAAGCTTGAATTGGTCCCTGCACTACGCCGGTGCGCTCCTGTCTTCGGCCGGAGCCATGCACTGGGGAATGCAGTTGGCAGAGATCGGGGTACCAAAGCGCAGCGAGTACATGAGCCTCTACTACCTTTGCCGCTTCAGTGCGCCCGCAGTCTTCGTCTTCTTCGGTTGGGTTGGCTCCGTGTTCAGCACGGCCTTGCCCTTCGAGGCAGCCCTGTGGCTGTTGAGTGGCTTTGCTGGCTTGCTTAGTTTCGATTTCTTGGCGGGCGCTTTCCGTATCACTCCCGCCTGGTGGTTCCGCTGGCGAGCGGGCTTCAACCTCTCTGCCATCTCCTGCATCGTCGTGCTGCTGCTGAGTGAGCGCAATCTGTACTTGGGCCAGAAGCCCAAGATGCGCATGTGAGATGAAAAGCGCCGCAAAAGCAACGAGTGTGTAGCCTTTGCTTTCGGGTGTTTGAAGGGTCAGTGTGGTCAGTCCGACTCTGGCACACCAGGAACCTCCGAGTCTCAGAGCGTAAACCCTGGTCAGGCTGAGACGCTGTGCGCTGAACACCGAAGGGGCCCTCCACGTGTGGCATGCGGCGCGCCATCTCTTGGGTGTGCTGGTTACGATTGGGTCGGGCTGAAGGCTTATGATCGTGACATGTGCGGCTTAAGTGCGGGTATACGTTGGTCATCTAGTCCATGAGAGTAGCTTGGTTCCGACAACTGAGAGTCAAGTAAAAGCCAGAAAGTTGGAATATGATTATCCTAAACCCTTTCTGGTAAATTATAGGGTATGCTACCCTGAAACCATATTCCAACTTTCTGGAGTTCCCTTTAAGGCAAACAAATCCGACAAGCAGGTGTCGTGGGCCGATTCGGAAAGCCACTGCGGGATTCAACAAAAAGATTCGGAACATGGGATTGGACTTTAAGATACATCTAGCATTTAGGAGAATGCTGGCAAGAAGCACGCCGATGGTAACGTGTGGCTCATCCACATTACATGTATGGTGCTGAAGGACCGTGCCAGATTTTTTTGAATTTGTTTCTCGCATTTTCTCGTGGTTTCGGCTGTTTGTTGTCTGGAATGTGCGTGCATTTGTTGTTGAATTGGCCCTCGTCGTTTGCAAAGTAGGGATTTTACATATCTAATTTTGGTTGAAACACTCAACAGAACCCCTGAACAGCAGAATTGTCAGCACATTAGGACCGAAATCCCAGAGAAAACAGACATCGGCAGACGTTGTCTTTGGAGGCGCTCTCCGAAGAAGCGAACGTCCGGTCGTAGCGCTCCGAGCTGGGCAGTGCGATGGACATACTTCGGTTTCGGTGTTTGAGCTTGGAAGTATAGGGTGGTCTTGTGGTGGATTTGACGCACGCATTTTTCGAAGGGTCGAAGAGAGCTAGGACAAGGATGCGGGCACCAAGAGTTCTCTTCGCATTTTCGGACACCGGGCAGCCTCGCCTCTGTAACCCTGTGCTTATCATGCAGTTTGCCGGGGTCGCCGCTATCCGTCTGTCCCGAAAGACTCCCTGTTCGATTGTTTCCGGCAACATTTTGGCCTCTTAAGACAGTTGCGTCGCAGCTTCAGGCTCGATCTCGCAGAAAATGTCCTCGACGCTGCGGCTTTGGAGGTAGGTCATGTGGAAGCATAATTTCAGTTTGATGGGTTCTTCAGGGCGTCTTCCTGGTGCCTTTAGAATCATATATATATATATATATATATATATCGAATTAAGGCTATCTTGGATAATTAAGCAGTCTCAGCCCAGTCGAACCATGTCGGTCCGGTGCTAGACCACAGGCTAAACCATCCATTCTGGCATTGTCACAAGGCCATGCTGAAGATGTCGCCCAAGGGTCGACTCGGCCCGTACCCTGAAGAGCTGCCCGGCTGCGAAGTGAAGCTTGAATATTTGGGGCTCAACGGGTTTCGAAGAATGGGTGTCAGTCCGGTGTTTACGAACGGACTCCTCGTCATGAAGCTAACGGCCCAGGGATGGTGACCCGGGCCTCGCACATCAGCACCTCTTGCACTGCAAACCTTGTCCCGAACCAGCAAGCAGAAGCCTGCGGCGTCTGAAAAACAACTACGCCGGGATCCGTCAAATTAGAAGCTTCTGGGATTCCTTTACCTTGATGCGCAGCTGAGAGCTGCTCACGGCATGACCATTAACGACCGGCAAGTAACAGGGAATAGTTTTGCTCACTTCTCAGACAGAGAGCGCTTGAATCACTGGAGTGATAGGGGATGATAGGGGCTATCTATCCTGATTCAGCAGCACATGAAAAGCGAGAAGCCATGGCGCTGGCAGTCGTCGAGTCTCAGCCTCTCGGGTTGTGCCCGGCGCAGCAGTTGTCCTGCGCTCCAGCAGCGGAGACCCTGTGCTTGCGGGAGAGCGGAGAGGAGGAGGCCAAGGAGAATTGGCAGTATCAGAACCTGCTGTCTGTAGCTTCCTCTCAGCTCCAGCGCTTGGAGCAGCATGGTGCCCTCCGCAAATGCCCCGGCTATGACCTGTCGGATCCTTGGCTGGTCGCAGGCTCAGAAGCGGACGGGGCAAAGCCGGGCAAGGCCCGCGAGTTTGCGCGCCTCACAGTTCCAGGTATGCCCTGCAAGCTGGTGGGGGAGGCCGGGCGGATCGTTGCTTACCTGGGCCCTGCAAATGCAGCTGCCGGCAGCAAGTCTTCCGGGCCTCCTGCTTCCCAAGCATGTCAGGTGCGGCTGCCAGAAGGGACCCTGAGCACTTACCCCCGCAACAAGCTCTTGCCGCTTCCCACTCGACCGGCTTGCCAGGGCGACTGGGCTTTAGCAGTGGATTTGAAAGGGGCGCTGGAGCACCTCAATGGCTTCAGATGCGTCTGCGGAATCGGAGTACGGACTGTGAGCAGCGGTCCAGGCTTCTGGGTGATGTTTGAACCCAAGGAATCGGGTATCAGACCAGAGCTGGAATTGCTTCCGAAAGTGAACTTGGTGGCCCTTGCAGGCCCGCCTCCCGGCTCTTGCCAAACTCCTTGGGAGGCCCGCCTGGCAAGCATCGCCCCTGAGGCCTTCGCGCAGCTTGCGCAGGAAGACCTGGAAGATGAGGCCGCGGCAGAAGCCAGGCGTGCAACACGCCTCCAGGCCCTCTGCGATGGGGATGAAGAGGACGATGATGAGAGCATGGACATCGATGACAGCGACCAAGAAGAGGAAGAGGAAGAGACGCTCGCTGTGGAAGCTGGCTCTCTGGTGCAGCTCACGGCCACCGGCTGCCTGGGTATTGTGCAGACAGTCAAGGACTCCGCTGTGGAAGTGCGACTTTGCCAGGGCCCCGGTAGCAAGGTCGAGACACATGCGCTGGCATCGCTCAAGGCAATTTCGGAAGATCAGGCGGTTGCGCAGGCCGTTTGCACAGAATGTGGGTCCGCATCGCCAGAGTCGCAGCTATTGATTTGTGAGAACTTTGCCAAGTCCTGCTCTTCGACAACACATATCCGCTGCCTCAGCCCTCCGCTGAAGAAGGTGCCTGAGGGTGACTGGTACTGCCACCTTTGCCAGCCGAAGCCAAGCTCGGGCTCGGCGTCCAAGAGCTCTGCAAAGGCTGCGAAGTCGGCACCCAAAGCCAAAGTCACAGCCAAGTCGGCACCGGCAAAGGCCACGGCCAAGGCAAAGGCCAAAGTCCTTTCAAAGGCCAACAGCAGTAAGTCTAAGCGTGGGTAGCCATGTAGACTCTGAGACGCGTCTGTCGTATGTTGGTCGTCAGAAGTGTCCGTGTGGCTACGCGGAAAAGGTTTTCGGACTGCAGCTGTACAGCACGCACGTGATTCGTCGCACGCTGCGCAGGGCAAAGGTGCATTCGTCGTTTCTTCCAAGCACCGTGGTCGTTCAAGGCCTCCCAAGGCACATGCATGGGCAACTAGTCGCAGAAGTCTCCCAGGGTTTGATCCATAGCGAGCTTCACACAAGGCTGATCTTGCTGCCTAGCGCTTGCGGTGCCCGTCGGCACCTCATTGTGTGTTGAGCTACGTGCATACAGCGTGGCGCTGGCGCGTAATCTTAGCAACTGACCGGCACATCAAAGGGCAACTCGTGTGGATGCATTGGGGAATGCGCATCATTATGACCCAGTGCAGCACCATCAGTACTGTCACCTCGCAAGCTGAGCATGTGAGCTTTTCTACGGAACTGACATGTTATTTTCTTTAACGTTTGCCTTGTGAGGACCAGTGGCACAGCTCGTGCAGCAGATTGCGCCATGGTATGCGGCTTACGATATTCACAATTGTAAAGATTTTTGAACCATACGAACTGGCCCATCAACCAGGGGTGAGGAGTGCAGGGTTTACTTGTCAGCCTGGCCGAGGAAGTCCATTTGCCTCCGCAGTGCTACAGTCGAGGCTGAGAAGTACGTCCATCATTGTCCATCTATGCAGTAGTAGCATGTAAGAGCTGACCAGCCTGTTGCGGTGCATATACATGTGTGTGATGAGGTTTGCTTGGAATTGCTAGCCAATGACGAGTAAGCGTATGTGAGAAGCAAGGAAAGCATTCACAACTGAATCAGATGACTGTCTAGAAGGCATACAACACTGATAATTAACATACAACCTGACATGCACATAACAATCGTAACAAACATGAGGGTAGTCGTTTCGCGAAACATGGCACTGACAAATCATGACGGTAGTTCTGATATCACTTCTTGCAGTAACCCTAACAAGACTCGCAGCAACAGCTTCGCATAAGCAACACATGCGAAACGAAACCGGAGGAACGATGCATTACTCATTACTGCATGATGGTGCATCCCTGTACCATGTCGTGGTGGTGATGAGGTTGATGACACATGTCACCAGTGTGATCGTTGTCGATATGCTCTCGGTTCCTACGAGTCATAGCTTGCAGCCACTCACCCAAGTATCGGGCTAGGCATTGATCTCCGCATCATCGCCAACATCCTCGAGTTTGCTATGTTTGTTTCGAAGATGACCATCATGGTTCTTTGCAGCTTATCGGGTGCGAGCCAGTGCACTTTTCCGAACTTATGGGCACTTGACCTTGGATCTGTTGTCGCTATGTTCCAGCCCCGCATCTTTTCGGGACTACTTCTTGCCCAGGTCCTCATTCGGAATAACCGGTTCTTCACCCCCTCCCCCACCACTCCCCGGTCCGACATGCTTCTCGGTGAGCTGAGGTTGCATGACATGCCATTGGGCCACGCATGACCGTTCTCCAACCGGCACCGCTTGGCTGCAGGCGGGCGAGGTCGCGCAGCTCATGAACTGCTTCGGCGAGCTTTGGGCTGCAGAGTTTCTGCGCACGAAGTTTGCAATGCAAGTGTAATCCGGCACACGGCAGGCTAATTTGCTTGGGGATTCTAGCCGAATTAGCTTAACGTCAAACATAAGCCTCCACCTCCTCGGGAATTGAAGTCGTGGAGGAAGAACACTTTCTGCTGATTCTGCTGTGATGATACAGAATATCGACCTTCGAGAAGACCTCGTCTTCAGCGCTTCTCGAAGAGATCCCCATCTGACAGATGCGGCCGCTTTGCGGAGTTGTAGGATTGAGTCTGAGACGGATCCCTTTTGCGAACTAAGCAAACGCAAAGCCGTCATTCATGGGCTGCCACATTCCGCTGCCTTTGACAAGCCAAGGATTCGTCGGCTTCGGGTCATGCAGGTCGCCAACTCGGTGGAGCTGCTGGCGCTACGAAGTCCTCTTAGTTTTGCAAGGTTGGACAGCCTAGAAATTGAAGATTAATAGAGTTGACTTGAAGGCAGACCACCGACGGCTCAACTGTCGGAGAATGGCATGGAGCGGCAGACTCAGTCACAAAGGTCGTGGGAGAAGCCGTCAGCACAGAATCTGCAACTGCCACCGTCCGTGGCAGCCAACTTGCATGCTGCCAAGAAGTCTTCGGCTTTCCTGGCTCGGTAGGTTCTCTTTGTCGCTAACTGGAGCATCCCTGGGCTTGCAGCCGGGAGCCTGGCTTGCAGACGGACTTGTCGTCGCAAGTTGTCACAAACTGCGAACCCGGACTCCAAACGGCTAATCGAAGATCACGACAGTCGAAGTGTGTTAAGATCGAGCTAAAACACAAACAGCGAGGCCACAGCAGTGGAGCCTCGTTGCCGATGCGGTGGCCTTCACAATATCCCCGCCGATGTTGGCAGCTCTGTCCGGGTAGCCAGCACTGCTGTGCCGCCATCGTCTTCGCTTCAAAGCCGATAAGTCCTGCTCGGAGCCGGGTCCATGTTGCGCAAGTTGTCCCGAGGCAAGTGCCCGACTCGGCCAACGTCCAGAGGCTGGACTCTCAAGACGACTTTCGGTTAGAGTCTGGTGAAGGGTTCGGAAGCTGCAGAAAGCACTGATCGCAAACCGAGCGTATCTTCCTGACGACAAGGCCTCTGCGCTCTACCGGACCTGGCTTCCGGCGCCTGGGGGGTTGCCGGGGCCCTGTCGGCCCTGTGCTGTCGCCTAGTACATCGTCTTGACACTTTGTGGCCGCCCAAGTATGACCTGCCACAGTCGAAACCAGCCAGCGACGTGCATTTCCGTTCGCTGCAGGTGGCGGCTCGCTGCGGATAGAGCCTTTGGCCTAGACAAGCTTGGGGCAACTGACTTCGGTGCCATGTCGTCACCTTTTGCTTTGCACCGCAGGCGCAGGGATTCAGCATCCGTAGGAGAAGAGCCACCAATGACAGCCCTTGTAAGTGTTCCGCTTGGGTTGGCCAGGCTTAACGACTGCGACCTGAGTGAAGCCCTCAGCCCTGGAAGGGGTAAAGGGCCGAATCAACTCGAGTCAATAGTTAAGTTTCTAAAAACACCTTCCTCGAAAAGAGCGATGCTGTGGTCATGCAACTGAGACCGGAGCAGCTGAATGCACGCTGTCATGCTTGGTGTTTCCACACTTTCCATTCCGTTGATGGTCGGAATTGCGTGGCAGTGCGTTTGCTTTCAACGGCTTGTTTCGCCTAGAGTAGACCACTACGCCACTACACCATATTTGCTTTTACGAAGGCCTGGGCCCTGAACTCGACGTATCGGTGTCCCATGGATAGCCCTAAAGCGTGTACAGCCTGCAGGCCTCGCATGCTTCAAGGCTCAATGCTGGGCTTCTGGATTCAATCTGGAGCCTGAGTCAGTAGGTGACTGCAACTCTGATGTAAGAGTTGTACTTTGTTCTGGCTCAGTCTTTGTTCGTCTGGGACTGTTCAGCAGGCTTCGATGGCGTGATTACGGCGGGCATCACGACATATCATGAATTTGGCAGGGGAGCAGAGGAGCTCAGTGTACCGGGCTGAAAGTAGACATTTCAGGTACGCGACATGAGTTCCATCCCACTGGCTTGGAACCATGCACATATCCTTACATTCGTTCTACTTGTTACTGTTACCGGAAACGGATTTCCATGCTCGCGTGCCTGAGCAATTCTGTGTGGAAACGTTCCTTCCGACAGGCTCTCCCGCGACAACTCATATCCAGTCCAAAGTATGTAAGTGGAAATATCCCCGCAAGAAAAGCCGATGCTTCTTATACGTACAAGATGCTGACGTGCTGAGACAACTCATGCTGCTTGTACTTGCCATTCACCGAATCCGTCCAGGAGCTAAGCTTCATAACTGTATTACCAGTTGCAGACTTGCCGCTTTTGGTCAACCCACAGAGAGTAAAACCAAAACCCTAACCCCCGAAACCCTAAACCGAGAGTAAAGCCAAAAGCCACCGCCAGGCACCGCGTGCGGTCGATCCTCCAGACCCAGCGTCTCCTGATGCTTGGTGCATCGAACATGTCTGTGAAGCTTCAGTATGGGACTTTCCGAAAATTGGGGGGGGGGGGGGGCACCTTATTATTTTGGGGTCCTTATAACCAGGATCCTGCTTTTCTAGGGTGCTATCTTATAGGGTGGCCTGTTTAATTTTCGGAAGCTCCCGTATCAGCAATCCACAATCAAAGATCTCGGGCTATTGGTGCTGTGGGATGCAAAAGAGGCCCGGAATCATTGATGAGCTTGGAGCATATAGTGGCTGAACTTGCTCTGCCGTTTGTCCATTCCAAACCAACAACAATGCCTGCAGCAAGCAGCAGCAACAAAGAATAGTCGTGTTCGTTGTTTTGAACGATTTGGCCAGTGCCGGGGTCATGCTCGGTCCACCTTCGCAAGAAAGCTCAGACGGTGAAACCAATCCTCCGAGGAAATGAGCTCCATCGCACCTTTGCGGCAGTTCTTGAAGCTTCGGGTTCAGCAGGGTTTACAGAATTTGCTGTATATGAAGGGGATTCATGAAAAACGGATTCCCCTAAGGTGGACCCCCACATATCCTGCATGCCGAATGTTCCCGATGCCTTCGACCCGGAAGAGCCCTAAAACCCACAGACACGGAGGCAGAGCCCTGGTTCCTCCACGTCCCTGCAGTTCAGCTAGGCAGGTTGACAGAATACGCTTACATCTCCGAACGCCCCGCGACGTGGTCCGCCAGCTGGGGGAGCTTGGGTTACGATATAGCAGCATGTATAACAGTACATCAGACTAACATTAAATTAATCAAGAAGAAAAGTGCGAAGCATGATAACAACAAGAACAGCAATAATAACAAGCATAACAATAACAATAACTCATCAAGTAGACTTGCGCTCGAGCCTAGGCCCGGAGCGCGCGCAGAGAGGTCCCCGCAAAGGCGCTGCCCTTCGGAGGTGAATCCTTGACTGTCTGGTTCTTAGTAGGGAATGGGGAGAGGGTTGTAGCGACTACTATAAGGGACCTTAACACGGGGTTCCATTCACCCTACTAAGAACCAGACAGTTGATGCTGGCAGGGGACCTTTTGGGTCTTTGTCTCTTTCTTGGGAGACACAGTTAAAACCACAATATGAAACTGGTACCAGCGAGAAGGGTTTTAATACGGCCCTGCCTCCTTTCTTTGGGTCTGTTGCCATCTCTCTAAAAACCCTCTGCCCCAGTCCTTCGCTGCCCTCAGTCCGAGCGAAAAGATAATGAATTGCAGCAGTAGCAGGACCAAAAGCCGGAGACACAGTCAACATCCCGAACAGCGCACGGGAAATTACCATCAACAAAGCATATAGCATGCATGTGTGCGTGAATGTCGACGTGTACATCTACACATGGAGTCGCAAACAGGCAGCAGAACCCTAAAAAAGCTTGCGATCAAGCTAAACTTGATCGTACTGGTCGTGCCGAAAGCCAGAAAGCCAAAAACCACTCGAAAAGCTCTAAACTCTGAATGCCGAGGCTTTAATTCATCTCGAAACAAGGTACCAGTAGCTTGCGACCTTCCTTTGGCAATTCGATCGCCTGCCGAGTCTCCGAGCAAAACTCAGTCCCTGAGAGGTCGGCAGGGGTGAACGGACGCCGGCAGGGAGCACAGCTTTTGGAGAGGCTTAGGGCTCAAAGTTAGACAGTTACCTGTCAATTTGTGCGGATTGGGAAAAGATGGTGGGAAAACTAAGCTTCATCTTGGGTTGTGCCCTGGCGATCGGACGACACCCGCAACTGCACGCAGTTGTTCATGGAGCTGGAGGGACGCGACCTACAGCTTTGACAGCAAGGGGGTTACTGTAAGTTCCAGCACATGTCGAGCTGTCTCTGCCTCATGTCGACAACCTCCAAATGTCATGGAATTTCTGGGGATGGGCGAGAGACACGGCAACTGCTTGCAGCCAGTAGCAAACCTAAGCAAAAGGCCGACTGGGTAAACTCCATGAATTAACAAGCCGAACTCGCGAGAGCCGATACTCCCTCCTCAACCTTCGAGTCCGGCAGCTTCTGATTACTCCCCTAAACCCTAAAACCTTGAACCTTAAACCCTAAACTCCTCCGCCATCGTTCCCAACTACGGCCAGGTCAAGTCCTTGGCAGTCAGGGCACGCTCGGCCACGCGGCTTTGTGAGGCAAAGCAGAAACCCTCCGGGCTTCCGTCACATCCTGACAAAAGTTGTGAGGTTTTTTTGCATCTAGCTGACTGCAGAGGAGTCAGTTATTCGACATTTTTCCACGGTAGGGGACGACGAAAAGCCCCTCTGCGTCTTCGTCAAGCACACCCTTTCGCTGCTGGGCAGAAGAACAGAAGATTTTCTTGGCGATGACCCGCACTCTGCCGCTTCATTCTGGTGGTTTCCTTATAATTTTAATACCCCAAAACCCTATGTTAAGTATTAAGGCACCTATAGTATGTAACTGTGCTTCGCATCCTCAGCTCTCCGAGACGGCTTCGTCTTGTTGAAGCAAGCGGGCCTGCTGTAGAAGATGCTGATTATGCATGCAGCACCTCTCCCGCTACTGCCTAGCATGCCCGTACCCAAGCAATATGCAGTGACAACCGAAAGACCAAAAAACCTGTCAAACTGCAGCACGCTCCAGGCACGCAAGAAGCCGACGCTAGGCGGGCAGAGGCGTGACTTGATGTGACAAAATTGGCCCACTAGCAACCGTGTAAGGTCTTCAGAACTGTAAATTGTACTTGTTGCGCTTCTACATCCTTCAATTCAAGCATTTGCATCGACTCTTCAATGTCAGCCCTGGCAGTCTTGCTCCGGAAGCCGTTCTCTTGCACTGGATTCTCTATCCCATGTCCAGATCCGACCAAACACCACTTCTGCCAGCGAGGGTTCTTATTGGGGACTAGAGAGAACCACCTCAGGAAAAGCAAGAGAAGGCTCATGAAAGCTCGCACTGACAGGATACGAATACTTGTGCCTGTTAGTAGGTAGGCACTAGTCACTAGCCACAGCGACCTAAGTGCTTTTCAAGTTTGGCATGGGCTCCGAATGCTGTTGTTTTACTTGGCTGGAGTTGTAGCCGCGAGTACCTTTGATCCTGCCCGGAGCCTGCGAAACCAGCACTTCAAGGAGACTTGCACAAGATGATCTCATACTAATGTGTAAGCTGCTCAGTTGCGGCTATGCCTATAATGTCTATTCCTCAAGCTGCTTTGCGCCTGAGATTTTGCCGCTGCCTTTGGCTTCCTAGCTCGTTCCTGTCAGGATTTGAATTCGTTCGGTTCCGCCCGAAAGGGCTGAACCTTTGCTTAGATTCCTGCCGGATCGATTTCTCGTGAGCATAGCTCCACCGTGGAGGCATGGGACCTCTGCAAAATGCGGATGTAAAGATTTGCTGCGCACCTGGCAGCCCACAGCAATGGAGGTTTCCATGGGGCTACCAAGTAGCGATTCTGCTTCTACTGGCCGGCTGTGATGGCAAGCCAGTTCATCTTCCGCTTGCTAGAAGGCCGGGCATCGGAGCAGGGCAGCAGCGGCGTCTAAGCACAGATGAGGCGCGCCTCTATGGAGATACGAGTGAACTCATGGCATATCATGCCGACATCGAGGCGCCGTGGCAGCAGGGCAGCTTTTTGCATAAGAAGTTTCACCGAAAAGGATCGAAACCCCATCCTATTTGTGGTCACCGGCACTGCTTCTTTTTTGTGTTTAACTTACATCATCGACCGTCACCTACTCTTCCACACAGCCCAGGTCGGGACACCTGGCCAGCTATTATCAGTGATCGTCGACACTGGCTCATCACGGACAGCATTTCCGTGCAGTGACTGCGAAAACTGTGGCTCACATATGGACCCACCCTTCAGTCCGAGTGCCTCAAGCACGTTTCGATGGGTTGGATGCGGGGACAGTGGCTGTTCTTCGTGCCTCAACAACAGCTGCAGCTACACCGCCAAGTATGTCGAAGGCTCCAGCATCGAAGGCAAGTATTTCAAGGACATTCTTCACCTCGGCGTCTCGGAGAGAGCACTTTCGCCGCAAGTAAATGGCTCGCCGACGCCCATCCAAGGGGTTTAGGGTCAGACGCCTTCCTGCTTGGGGCTGGGGGAAAGTTAAGGTTGCGTCGATGTGCACCAAGCATGTGTTTCAAGACACGATGGTACCATGTGTCCACGGGTACGGAGCCCTACCAAAATCGTTTCCGCCGTTTAAGAAACATAAGCCCCAATTCATCGAAGGAAAATGACAAGAGTGTGGTGCGCATGGGGTGCCACACAAAAGAAACTGGCCTCTTCAAGACGCAGGCACATCCGGGATGATTCGCAAACCCTGATAGAAGGTCAAATTGAAGTGTCGCTTTGGAAAAGCCTTATGGTTCTGAAGTGGTATGTGGCCCAGGTTCCACACAGACTAAAAGTCAGGTTGAGGTGTCGCTTTGGTCAAGAATTAGTATTCGGGAGTGGGACGTGTAGGTTCGTCGCGCATTCCTGCCTTTGATTGTGGCACCGATCTGTCGGTAAAGATGTTCCATCTCTTGCTACTCGAGAAGTTGAACTACCAAGCGCACACTTGCACATGGATTCCCCTGCAGCCAGCTATGCTTAGCAAAAACCATGAGCTTACACGCCAAAACAACATGAGCCTCAGGTCCACATACCCAGCATGGCACTCGAGTCTGGGATGGGTCCAGAGGTGTAGGCGCGTGACCAAGCCAATGAAGGTGCCGTCCGGCATCATGGGGCTCAGAGACGGCGATTGGAACGTCCTATCGCAGCTCGCAGCCACTTGGACATTGCTGGCTTCAAGCGCAGCTGCGTGTAGAGTGTATGTAGCTCCTGCTTCGACAGTATCTTGACAACAAGTGCCACCTGTATAACTGGAAGGTATGAGGATAGCGTTACCGGGTTAGTTCTGCATGATTGAAGATTTCCAGTTTCCGTCGGCTTCAAAGCCTGGCTCGGAGATCTATCTGTCAGGTGTTTACCGAAGCCAGGTCCGCTAGGCTTGACCAAAGGGTGCATGGGCGCTTCCTTGACTGCCTTAACACTCATTACGGTATCGATCGTGTTGTGTTGTTGCGTGCGCATCCCTTCTCTGCTCCAGGAGGGCCATGTACACAAGAAGCTATTTGCTTTATGCCTTGCAGAGCATGGAGGCTCCTTTTCCATGGGCGAAGTGAAGCTTGGACCTTGCAAATGAGGTAAACCGAGTAGTAGAGCAGGTCACGGTTAACCTTTTTTGGGTAGAATAGTCCCTATATTGCCCTATATAATCCCTATATAACCAAAAAGGTTAACCTTTAGTTCCCCATGATACCCGACAAGTAGGTAGAGGGCTTTCGTTGCAGTGGGGAGCTCGAAGGACCATCGGTCCTGGAGCTAAGGAACAGCACATGGATGCCAACCACTGGGCCCTGGCAATGGGTGCCCTACACCAAGGCTGCAGTCACCAGGGGACGTTGAGTTAAGACCTGCAAACCACGACCCCCGAGAGGTCTCCACCTCAACCTGCTTCTGAAGGCAAGCCAGGTCTAGGTTTCTGCGCAACAGTTAGATTCTTAGATCAAGTTATTGGCCGTCCACCGAGCCAATGCACACACGATCTTGTAAGTTCTCAAGCAAAGTCAAGTCCCCCACAGCCGACAACATTCTGTTCAGTTCTATGCTCCAAAGTCCAAGCGACCTTGGGTCATTCGCAGAGGATGCGTCCCGAAGCCAGGCCTACTATGTCGACATGGATTCGGTCACCATGGCGGGACATAACATTTTCAACGATGCTTGCAGAGATTCATTTCACCTCTCTCAGCTGGTACGATGCTCCGAGAGCGACATGTGGATCTGGTCGTCAGAGCACTAGTGCTAATTCCCACCCGGTCTGACAAGCTTAGAGACTGGAAACTTTCAAGGCGTCATTTTGCCCGACTCAGTTTGAAGAAGAGCTGAAGAGCTACTCTGCTCCGTTTGTTTGCCCTACACCTGCCAGTCATGACCGAGGAGCCCTTGGGGAGCTTCTTGGTGGACTCCGGGACTACGCACCTTGGCTTCAAGAGGTTTGACGTTGTGGGTTTCATGCAGATCTTTACTCCGAGTTGGCAACTCACCAGTGTCTGACACGACAACTGCAAGGTACACCTATTTTACATCTCGGCAGGCGGGCACCGCGCGCACTGTACGCACGTACTGCGCGCACTGTACGCGCGCAATGCACGTATATGTGTTGCAGCACCGACACGGCAATCATGTGAAAGACTTCTCTGCAGACCTGAAGAGACTGAAGTGTGGTTTCCAAAAGTGCCTGCTTAACGAACAGCTGCACCCACACAGAGCAGATTTTTTGAAGAGAAACTCAGACAGATGGAGTTTGGACATGTCTGCGTCTAAAGCAGTCTAACATACGTGCGTACATACATGCATGCGTGCATGCACTGTCACATATGCTTATATACATATGTCATACTGATAGGTTGCTGTATATTACATTATGTGCGTGCGCTGGTGCAGGTGCATATCTGTCTGCATGTATTTCTGTGTGCCTGTCTGTCGGTTTGTCTGAATGTATATACATTCGTACCTGTACACGTACCTCTACCTTCACAACGGCGCATACGTGTGAATACACGCCGACTTAGAGTTTAAAGGTGTTGTGGCAAAAAGGGTTCTAGCTCTCCATCTGTGTGGTTATATCTCTACCTACCGACGCACCCCCCCCAATCTATCTTTCTGTCCTGTCCCCTGTCCTATCCATTCCAGTTTAACCTCATCTAATCCATCTACCTGCCCATCTATACAAAAGCGGACTGGTATGGGCGTAAGCTGGGCAGTTATTGGTAGGTGCAGCGGGCCGGACACCATCGTGGCTCATAACAGCTGTGGATTTCTAATTACGCATGTCGAAGACTGGTCAGGAGAGCAAAGACAGAAATGAAGCGACGCACACAGGCACACTCTCCCCCTTGTGCTCGTACCCATCTAGGAGAGAGGATATGAGAGGGGTGGGGAAGAGGGAGAGAGAGCAGGCTTTGTCTATTTGCGCTGCGTGCATACGAGAAACGAACGAAGCTCACAGGACCGAAATACTGTGTCAACAGGCCCTGGCCCTCGAAAACCAGATCCGTGACTTCTGCAAAGCTGGGGCCTGCGGCAGTGCGAAGATGCCGACACGCTCGTGCTACGAGGCCTGTAACAACCGTGTTGCCAATCAGGGTCTAGTCCGGCTTTTGCGGAAATTCAGAGCCTGGTTGAAATGCATCGATTTGGCGGTCACCTCCGCCAAGAATTGATATCTGGCTGAAGCAGCTAAAGTTGCAGGAGGTCACAGCGGAACCACCGCGTACGTCTGTCCTTCCTGGATACATCTTGCAGTGTGGTTCCTGTCGGCACCGTGGACACCGAGTTTCCGAGTACAAGCTCACGCCCCAGGCCAGTGACGACGACTTGGACAAGTTTCCGGACCTTCACCTGAGTTTCGGAAATGCCACTTGCCTGGCCAAATAGGCAGTCAGGGTTTCAGCTTAGTAGCCGCTACATTCAGCAGGTTTCCAGGTGGCAGCCCCTCTCTTCCATTTTCGAATCGTCCAGCAACCGTCAATAAAGGAGGTCAACGAGTCAGAATCGATGCGACAACTCGACTTGAGTTGCCTCGGCACACCTCGTGCCCTTGATTGTATCCTGTCTTCAGGCCAGCACGGCCTGTCAAATGCTGCAGAAAACATTCTGAAGCCTTTCTAAACGTCGCTGCAAGTAGTTATAGCTCCTGCGATACGGCACGCAATTTCGCACGAGGCCAACTATACCTGGCCAGCTCGCGGGTATCTCTACCGCCGATCGGGCAACTGGAGGCTTGTCTTAATTGTGAGTCTTCGCGGGTGTGAGCATCCCTGACTTCGCTCCTGGTCACAAACACTCTCCGTGTTGCCAGTGCAGTCAGTCAGTCAGTCAAAGCCTCGTGTACAGTGACACATGGGCATGGAAGGAACAATTAGTTTCCGAAGCAAAAAGATTGTACACGTTGTCGCCACACGTTCGGTGGAGACGCCCATAAACGCTTCAACTCATCAAAATCTCCTGCCACCTGTACAGCTAACTGATACACCTGGGAGGTGCCAGTGCAGTGGTTGTTTATTATAACTATTACTATTGCTGTTGTTGTTGTTTCCATCATTGCTTGTGATAACTCTTCTCATTAGTAGTACCACTATTATCATAGAATCCATAGAGACTTTCGGTACCACCGGCTGGAAACCGCCCATTCACAAAACGCCTTGCTCCGTCGCGGCAAGCTGGGAGCAGCCAAGGTGGTGTTACTCCTTCTTCGGCATGCCCCCGCTGACGCTGGGTGCATCCTTCATGAGGACCGGCGTGGTCTCGTTTTTGGCCAGTGACCATCTTCGGAGTGGATTATTGCTTGCATGCGCCCTACACGGATCGTTAAGACTTAGGAATTGGCTTTCTATAGGCCCTCAATCAAAAAAGAGAATCTGAGAATCTGACCGGTGCATGGCCGGGCTTTGCCCAGTTGTCAGAGGTGACGACGATTCAAAGACTTGCATGAGCCCCAAACTAGACAGTACCGAAACCCCCCAACGTTGCCCAGCAGCTGCTTCTGCAGGAATCATGCGATCGTTTTCGACCAAGATGCCAAGAGGATCCTGGGCGGGAAGGGGGGGGGGCTTGCAGCAGCCTGGGAGCATGTCGTTAGTTCGAGAGTTGGAGGGTTGCATGCTGAACGAGCGTCCTGCCCAAGGCTTCAACTGCACACGCATTCAGAAAGCTTCGAAGCGAAACATCTTATGAATCTTATGATGGCCAGCAAATGCCCATGCGCCAAGATTTGCAAATCTCCTGAGGATAGGCTTTGCCACGTCAGCCTGCCCAGAGTTTGTCACGCGAGCAGAGCCGGAAGCTCGAGCCTCCGTCGCTAGGCATGGCTGATTTCATGCCACACCGCATGCATATCTTGTTCGTGGGGCTGTGGCGTAGGTATTGAGCTTTCTGGTTGTTTGATGCAGCGGTTGCACTGGAAGAGATACAATCCATCAGTATGTCAAGCAGGAACGCGGTGTAATGGATCCTGGTTTCACTGGGGGGTCCGAGCACTGAAGTGCCTTTTTGCGACACTTTCCTGATGATGCGCAAAGTGACATGACATGGGAGCTTTGTTCGCCTTCTCTGGACTCAGACACTGCTGTAATTAGCAGCTTCATGGTGTTTTACAGCTCCACTTGACCTTCAAAACGGTGCAGGAATCAGGAAGCAGGTCTATCAAAAGTGCGGGCTGCTAACAGACTTTGCCTCGATCGTGTGGTTTAGTGTGTCTGAGCACAAACTCCGTTAGAGCTGAGGTGGGCGTCACGAAGCACGGGCCATCCACCAGTTTCTTGGGGCAGTTGAATTCTGCTCACCAGCACGCAACCAGCTTACTTGTCGTGCTAGGGGCCTTGATTTCCTCTCTGGCCGAAGTTGCATAAGATGAGCAGAAAATGGGCACATCCAGTCCAGCCGGCTTTACGGCCGGTTTAGTCGACACCCCCCCTAAGCGGACGCACGCAGCTTTCCAAAATGCGACATGGACTTGTCGGCAGAGCGTTGCCGACCTTACCGCTGAAGGTCCTGATTAAACGTATTGAAGTACTGAAAGCTATCACCCTGCTAAGAGATCAGACAGGACCATGCGGTGCTTTGCACATCATTGCACGCTTTGTTTGAAATTCAACTTGGAACCTTTGACGCTACTGCATCTGCTAGAACAGCACACTGCCCGCGACCCTTGTAAAGACTGGGTGGCATCGTGGCACTGGACTGGAGCCGGTGCTGTAAAGAGCCGTATGTTGCACTGTCGAGCCAGGCATTTCGAAAGCAGGCTACGTCTGAAGCAAGTCCGAAAGGACAGGCCAGAGGGCACGCCTGAGAGCCCTTGCGGGAGGTGCAGCCGTCACCTAAGAGGCGGAGCACAAACACGTGGTGTTACAATCGAGCCTTCATTCTAGTAGCTAGTATAGCTACGCAGAAGACGGCTGCAAGTGCCTCCCGCGGGACTCACACTGGCAGGCGTCGTGGGTATTTGGCCAAAGCTCCTGTTGAGAAGCACTGCATTCGCAACATGAACGGAGCGCTTGCTCCCACAATACCCACGCATTCACATCCCAGAGCACGAGATTGCTGGACGTTCCTCCGATGTTGCCGGAGAAGTACCGCGATGATCGGTTGTTTTCGGGTGAGCAAGAAATTGCACCCAGTGGCGAGTACACTAGCATGCTATGAGGGCATTAGTCATTCGAGCTTCCATGTGTTGGTGCCACAAGGTGCATTTGCGTTGGGTAAGCATAGCAGCTCCCAGAAGTGGAGCTGCAAGCCGGTTTTGTCGTCGTGAGGACAGCTTTGACTCCTCTTAATGCATTGCGATGTTTCAAAATCTGCGGCGGCACCCGTCAGCGCCAGGTTTCATTGCAATCACTCCACACCGGACTTTGCAATTTCTATCTTGCAGGCCCTTGACTACTGTAGATGGTCCTGTCAGTTGCTGTCTACTGACACTTCTTTCTCCTTGCAGGGGTGCGACAGTCAACAGCCTGTCCCCACAGGGTCGGGTCCATGGCTCGATGCCCAGCAGATTCCAGACCCCACTATGTCATTATGCACTTTGACATACAAATATGCAACCACCATCCAAGCTTCTATCATGGGCACGCTTCAGAGAGTATGTCCAGTGCTCTCATAGTGGTGAGGAAGTGATTCCTGGCGATTGATTCGAGGGAAAGCCAGATGAGACACCTGTCATACTTGGCCGACCTATGGCTTCCTTATGACAGACGGCAAGTAGCTTCCAGCGCTCGCTAAAGCCTGACTGTGTGACTTACCGGATCTCCTGGGGCAGGGGGCGGCCTCGACACCATCACGGAGGATGATCGCGAATATCCCCAATGCTGCCAAGCAGGCTGCCAGCGAGCTGTGCTGACAACTTGTGGCAGCTACAACAAGCTCCTGAAGCATCTGTTGCTTTGCAAGCGAGTCTATTCATTGTCAGGTTGTCGCAGGAGGAAGACAACGCAGAACCTGTAGAATCGCCGACTCCCTGCCGACTCTCTCGCGTTTTGCTTTAGAGATGCAGATTCCAGGCAGCCTCCCCAAGCGCCAAGGCAGCAGGCCGCTCCGACAGTCCAGGCCATGACATGGCACACTCTTGACCAGCCTCATTACGTAGGTAACATCACTTTGCTGCCAGGTGGTGGCCGCAGCAGCAGAGCTGGAAGGTGCGTAGGGCGACCACAACCAAAGCTTGTTCGAGGATGAAGTTCGAGCTTCTCATTGTGGGAACTCCTGTGGGTCGGAGTTAGTGCAAGCCTTGCACCTTCAGGGTTGCAGGATGCATCTGTGGAACTGATCGCCGGTAAGTTGTCAAGGATTTGACTACAGGGAGCAGCGGTTGAAGACTGGGGCATGTCTCCGCGCTTGTGAGCAGTCTTAAGCCATCCACCTTTCACTCACCACTGTTCTCCGGAATTCTATAGCCCTTGATTTGCAAGGTGGGGGCCCATATCCAGAGAGCAGACGGCAAGTCAAGTCGTAGTTAGCTGTTGAAAAAAACACTTGTTACTGCACACCTGTCCACTTTCTCTGCTTCCCTTGCAACTTTCCCCCTGGACCCTGGATCCGTGGCACTTGTTTAGCATTTTGTTCAGTATTGTGTAGGAAGCCATCGACAACACTCCTGGAGCCTGCCTCAGTCCATCTAGCGGTCGGAATGAACAGAAATAATATTCCCGTCTTTTTCGGCCCAAGAGACTCACACCCCCAGAACCTGTTCGAAGTCTTAAAGCCTCTATAGTATAACCCGTACACTTGAAAATAGGGGCCTGAATTAGAATAGGGTTTTGGGGTATACGATACTATAATTCTAATAATCCCCCCAAATAGTATAGGTCATGTTTAGGCCCCTACATTATAATCTTGGCCGAAGGCCTCCAGCCCCCGCGCAACGCGTTTGCCGAGAGGCCGACTGTTCGATCCCCCTGACCCTTCGAGTTGGGGACCTTAACAGTACCAGGTTCCCCTGTAGTACCCTTTTGCCCTCTTGTTGGGTTCCCTTACTAAAACCAAATAGTAGGAAACAGAATACCCTTGTTATGAAGGGGCTACTGGGGAACCTAGAATACGAATCGAGTTTGGGACACAGAACCTAGACCTATACATACAATGGGAGGCTTTAACCGAGATACGAAGCCGTTGGTTTGTCGATCGACGAGAAAAGACCTGATCTCAGGTTCGTTTGTGAGGCATAAATGCTCTCGGGTACTCTTGCAAGAAGAGACTCCAGAATTGCCGGACGAAATCCCCTTCGAAAGCGCATGGGCTTCGAGCTCAGAGTCGCCAACTCCCTTAGAATTCCACTAGAGCAGAGGCCGTCGACAAACCAATGCGTTCAGAAGACGATGAGGTGGTCACGGCGGACCCTAAAGTTTAGTACGACTGCCTTTCCACAGTGACACAGATATTCGCATGACTCTCAGAGCTTAAGTTGTCGATTTCGGGTGTTTGCGTTTCCTTTTTATGAGCCTCGACGAGCAGCCGATGTGTTAAATGGAGCTCAGTGGGCCGCGCAAGCTCGAAACTTTCAGGAAAACTTTGGCCTGATCTTCGACAGACAGCACCATGTCGAGCTCGAGGTGCGGTCTCTGCAGTATGGTTATGGAACTGTGTCCTGCATAAGGCTCTTTCGTGTTGGGCTTCGTGGCTGCGTCAGGCATCAGGAGAGGTGCAATTTTGCACGCATTGGTGTTTGTTGAAGGTCTTTTCCGTGTCGCCGACACAGAGCCGGTTTTTGGACCAGTCGTTTAGACTCTGCTACCCTTGTGCCCAGGTAAGCACCGTCTTGCGAGAGCTGCCTGGGTCTTAGTAGTGCAGGCCTAGGCACTCATGAGAATGTTAGGAACTCTTGCGTACAGTCTTGAGTTCTTCGGATACGCTTCGTTCTGGACATACAATTTCCGTATTGCTGCGACTATCACATATTACCGTTGGTTCTGGTGTCACGACTATTCTTACGGGTGCTGCAGTCACCACTATTTCCGCTAGGAAGCCAAGCCCAGTTCAGGGCAGATGCGACGGTGCATGAGCGGATACTACGATTTATTTAGGGTTTCGGGCTTAGGTCTACATACATTCACGTGCTGCCTACTTTGGATGCTGACCGCAATCGACGACAGCATGAACGAACACGAGACTTTGCCACTGGGGCGACATCGATGTAAACATGACAGCGACCGCTTCCGGAAATGCTTCAGCAACAAGTTCGGGATGTAGCAGCAACGGCGGCTGCAACGACAACAACAACAACAACAACAGCAGCAGCAGCCAAAAGAACAAGAAAGCTGTCAATAAGAAGAAGGCAAAGAGTGGTCTTGGCACAAGCATAAGTAAGAGCAACGACGACAGATGGCAGAGGGAACGGCGACCTCGACGACGTCAAAGACAGAGACCAGAACGACAAGAGTAGTAATTGTAGTAGTAGTAGTAGTAGTAGTAGTAGTAGTAGTAGTAGTAGTAGTAGTAGTAGTAGTAGCCGCCACAAGTGCTCAAGCGGCCGCGCTGAATGAGAGGTTTCGAACAGGCTTGGGGCGCAACTGCTGTGCTAGAGGCTCCAACCGGGCCCTTTTCTGAACAGTAAAGGTTTGTGCCTCCTTCTACGCCATGGTCCTCTCCCTTTTCTCACAGGAGCTGCTTTGAGCCGCCAGGTCCCAATTCCTGGGCCCAGACTCTGTTTAAAACATTGCAACACTGGGTAGGCGGTAGGGTTTCCACCTCCGCGCGGTGGAGGGAGTCATTAGGCTTCTGTCTCTTGACGAAAGTAGCGGATGGCGCAATTGCCAGTGCACTCACAAAACTTTGCATCTCTTCGTAAGAATTCGTTCAAGACAGCATGTAGAAGGACAGTCCGTAGTGACGGGCCCGTACCATACCGAGGGCAGGTTCTGACACCTACCCTGGTTGATCGTCTGGGGGTGCGCCCCCCACCCACTCGAAGAGAGCTTCAGTCACAGACTGCTGACTCCCCTGCATATGGCACAGCCTCCCGCAGGGCAGGAAGGTTGGAAAGATCCATTCGAGTTCTTTCGTGGAACGCGGGCCACCTAGGCCAACAGCAATGGGGCGAACTCAAAACGTGGCTAGCAGCTGAAGCCTCTCATCACTGCGACATCCTCATATTGCAGGAAACGCACTGGACTGAGACCAGTGAATTCAGCGTTTCTGGGTGGTACTGTATCTCCTCAGCCTCGGAGTCTACCAAACCCAACACCCGGCCTAAACAAGCAGCGAAGCGAAACACTCGGCAAGAACCGCGAGCTCCATCCACGACTCGCGCTGATGGAGTCATGATCCTATTCTCTCCCAAGTTCGTCCCCAAAAGCTTACGCTGGAAGGAGTGGAGCCCGGGTAGAGTCTTAGAAGCTCGTGCGGACATTGCAGGTACTCGGCTGGTTGTCGTCGCGGTGTACCAACACGCTTGGTCTTCTGCCAAGACCATCCAGTCCAATAAGGACGACCGTGCTAAGGTACTATCTGTCATGTCCAAGGTGATCAAGCAGGTGCCTAAGAGGGACTCCCTTATTGTAGCAGGCGATTTTAACACTCCCTGCGTCCGAGCTCTCCATTGGTGGGAACGCACGTGAAGCCACCCACTGAGGACCGCCCTGACGAATCCAACTTGTTTAATCTGCTGCTCAGGCTGCGTTTGGTTGCCCTTAACACCTGGCAATGTGACCATATAGCTACCTTCTCACAAGGAGGCGTGGAGTCGCAAATTGACTTCATTCTAACCAAAGAATCTACGGCGGGAGGCAAAGCCAAACGGTCAGCCCCTTGGGTGGACTGTCCGTTGGGCAGCTGGAAGAAAGGAGGGCATTACCCACTCAAAGCTGACGTACCCCTCCAACACCACTGGCTGCTCCCATCCCACAAGCCCAGCACGCGCCGGTATGATTCACTAGCTCTACAGGCCTCAGTCAGGGAGGAGGACGATACGGCCAAGGCCCTGCACAACTGGATCGCTTCCAGAATCGACACCTGCCAGGACCCCAAGGCATGGAATGCGTTGCTTTTGGAAGGTGCAGAACGCTTTTTCCCAAAAATTCCCAAAAGAAGACCGATCCCGCTGGAATCGGAAACCCGTCGAATGTGGCGGGCCCGCACCCATGACAGGGCTGCGAATACCACTCCCTCAGCACAGCTGATTGAGTCACCTAAAGCAATGGCACAGCCTCCTAATCAGAACACGCCACGTCCGCCGGAAACCGAAGCTGAGCTGGCACAAGTGGCACACCGCCAGGCTGTGAAACAAGCAAAGAAAGATCGAATTGCGAGTTTCATATCGGAAGTGGACGCGTGTCTAGCTGAAGGTGATCAACATATCTCCTTCCAGACCCTCAAAAAGCTGCAGCCTTGGCAGCCTGCGCGCAGAGCTCAGCTAAAGGACAACACAGGACATCTACTAGGTCCAGCGCAGGAACTAGCAGCCCTCAGGGACTATGCCAATCAGGTATTTGCGGCCCACCCTCCGTTACGGACAATGCATGGAGCTTTCCCTGCTTTGGAGCCGCCCAAACTAGCAGCTCACATACATTCCATCAAGCCGAATAAAGCTGTTCCTGACGGAGCGGCACCAGCGGCTGTATGGAGGCTGTGTAGCGATCTCGTTGCACCGGTCCTCTCCGAACACGTAGCATCCAAGCAGGCCGAGGACAGTCTAGAATCCGACCTCGTAGACGCGGATCTCTGCTTAATACCCAAGCCGGGCAAGCCCTCTGACAAACCCGCAAACCTGAGACCCCTGGGCATCCTTAGGCCTGACGCTAAGGGGCTGGCGGGAGCGGCCAGAGAAGCGCTTCAACCACTGACACTCTCGTTCCTCAAGCACATGCCACAGTTCGCTTATCTACCAGGTCGGGGGCTGTCAGACGCGCTAGAACGCGTGGTGCATCACTTGCGAGAGGCTCGATCCCTGTTAGAACAGGCTCACCCCACGAGACATGCCCTGCAACAAGGCACACAGGCCCCGGCCTTAGTCGGCGGCCTCACCTTTGCTCTTGACCTCAGCCAAGCGTTTGACACTGTCTCTCGCCAAGAGATCATCGACCTTCTTCAGAGAGAAGGGGCCGACCAGGACACAGTCCATCTCGTTCAGGCTCTACATGATGGGTCTCGTTACGTCCTTCACGCGCAGGGAGACTCCACCTCTGTTGAAACCACAGCAGGCATTAAACAAGGATGTAAGCTCGCCCCCACACTCTTCTCGTTCCTTACAGGTGACCTTTTCCGCTCTTTGGTTGACCTTTTCGGTGCTGAGCAGGTCTTGAAATTCCTGACAGGATATGCCGATGATCTCACGCTCCATCGGACTATCCGCTCTGACAAGGACCTCAGGGCCATTCATGCGCTTATCGCAGCGCTACTTGAGGAGGTCCGCAAACACCGCCTACGCGTCAACATCAGCAAGTGCGTCATCTTAGTGAAGTTAGCGGGTAGAGAATCCCAAAACGTGATGAACAAACACGGCTGCTGGATCACCAACTCCAAGGGCGAGCAGGTTCGCGGATGGCGCATAGGGCCCAACAAATCGTTCCCCGCCTTCCAGTGGGTCTCCTGTAGCAAGTACCTAGGGGTTATGATCTCCTACAACCACTTCGAGCTGCAGTCCTTGCATTACCGCATAGGGGAAGCCAAGCAAAAGCTGCATCAAGTCCGCCAGTTTGTCTACAATCGCCGGCACGCGAGCACCATGTCGAGACTTAAGGTTTGGCAAAGCACAGTCCTGAGCACACTGACGACAGGCCTCTCAGACGTCGGACTCAGCGAGGAGTCGGCCAAGCAGCTACGCAGTTGGCATGCTTACAAGGTGCGATCAGTGCTGAACTTACCAGCACACACCAGCCGCATCACCACTAAGGATCTCTTCCAGCTTTATAGCATTCAGGACCCAGTTCAAGCGATGCAGGTCAAGCTCAGGAAGCGACCCCGCAAACTTGAGCGACGTGCAGCCAGAAGCCCAGATATCACAACCGATCCTTCTGTCTTGCAAGTCATCCGGGACAAGCTGCATTTCATGTCACAACTCCCTGAAACAGTTGAGCACCCTGTAGCCCTACATGCATGCACACTCTGCGATGCCTCCTTCGAGACAGCAAACGGGTTACACTTACACACGTCGAGAGTGCATCCAGCCAGCATCGACCGATTTGTGCCATCAAGCTTCGATCGACAACTCCACGCGGTGGATGGGATGCCGCAATGTGCTGCTTGCATGCGCAAATTTCATCAATGGAAAGGTCTTCGTGACCACTTGTTGTCAGGAGCATGTCCGGAGCCCCAGAAGCTTCGAACTCTGAACGTGACTGACAAACACTCAAGTCACCCTGAGGTAAGGACCCTGTCCCAGCTGCGACAGGACATCGCCCAACTCCCACAACATCGAATAGCGGTGATCTCAAAGACACCGGAGGCCCGGGTCCTGATCCATAGGTGCCTCACGTGTGACTTCTGGACTTTCGATCACACTAAAGTCAAGTCACACTTCCGTCAGGCGCATCCTAAGGACTGGTCAAGGCTGCACAAGCGCGCAGTCTCAATATGTCAGGGTTTCTCGCCTCACCTTGCCAAGGGACACCCGTGTTCATTCTGCGGTTACAAGGTCTATGATCGTCGACTGCACCCGGAACAATGCCCTGTACTTTATCAGGTGAGCACACAGTGGCTGCGAGGGCAACCGGAGGCAGAGGAAGCCGTTACTGCTCCCCCCTCCAAGCCCCAAGAACGGTCACTGACCCACTTCTTTAAGTCACGGTCGAATGGCACAGCCTCCAATCAGTCGAGCACAGCTCGTCAAACCC